ATTGGAATTTTAGTTTCTTTTTAATATTTATATTAATTTCTGAATGGATTTGTAAAAAAAAAGAAAATTTTGCTAAATTGTATTTTTAATTGAAAACAAAATATTTAAAAAATTTTCAATTGCTTAAAAAATTTTATTAAAATTATATTTCATTAATAAATTATTTTTAAATTTTATAAACCTTTTATTAAATTGCATATAAAATCAATAATTATTGAATTTATCATTTTATTATTTTTTTTAATTAATTTTAAATTTATTACTGTATCAATGCTTTTTGGTTTTACCATTTTATTTTTATCACAAAAAATGAAATTTTAATAACTTTTTAAATAAAAAAAAAAATTTTAGATTTTTATTTCTGGATTGCAAATATTTTTCCGGAAATCTGAATCAATCAGGAATGTTCAAGATGGTCATTTATCGATTGATCAAATTGCCATACGGATGAATGCATTTTCGAATTAAATATTCCATGGGATGCTGGTGCTGTTGAATATGCATGTGGATGGGAAATAATTATAGGTCAAATTGTAACTAAAATTGATCCAATACAAGTAAATATTAAGTAATTGAATCTCAAAAATTATAAACAAGTAATTAATTTCAATTTTAATTATGAATTTTTAAATGCGATAAATTCAATTAATTCATTTTTAAATTTCGTTTTAATTTAGTGTGTCTAAGAAATAAAAGTAATTAAGAAATGATAAATTAAATTATAAAAATGTAAATATTAAGTAATTGAATCTCAAACATTATAAACAAGTAATTAATTTCAATTTTAATTATGTAAATGTAAAAGCGATAAATTCAATTAATTCATTTTTTTTTAATTTAGTAACTTTTGTGATTAAGAAATAGAAAGAAGATAAATTAAATTATAATAAATAGAAAAAAATAAATAATTAAATTCGATTTATTGATCAATTTTTAAATGAAAATTTTTTAGAATAATAAATTCAATTAATTCATTCTCAAATTTCGTTTTAATTTAATAACTTTTGTAATAAGTTAACAAATAAAAAATCAGTAATTGAGAAATTATAACTTAAATTATAAGAAACAGAAATGTTTGCAAAAAATAAATAATTAATTTCAATTTAATTATCAGTTTTCAAATGTAAATTTTTTAGAATAATCAATTCTATTAATTCATTTTTAAATTTCTTTTTAATAAATTCAAAATCAAAATTTTTAATTTTGTGTTAACAAAAACTCAGTAATTACAAAATGATAAATTAAATTATAATAAACAAAAATATTTTATATTCTATTTGAAAAGCTTTTTACAGCATAAATTTTCAATATTTAAATAAATAAATTTTTTAAATTATATTTTTAAATTTTAAAATTAAAAATATTTTGTATTGCAGTTAATTTGTATTGCACAAATGTTGGAAAGTTTTTTAACAGCAATTGACGACTAAATGTTAATTTTCATAATATATTTTTTTTCATATTATTCCATTTGAATTCATTTTTTTTCTAATAAAAAAAATAAAACAAAATTTTAAAGAAATTAACGATAGAATTTTTTTAAAAGTCACAAAAACTTTTAGTGATGAACTTTTAAAAATAAAATTTCATCAATTGTCATTTCTAATATTATAATATTAGAAATAGATTTAATTATATAAAAAAATTTAATTCTTGAAATTTTTACAATATTCGTTGAATAATAATTTGTTATTTATTTCTAATAGATTTTAATCTTGAAATTTAAAATGCCAGTTAAATAATAAAATGCTATTAATATTACAGATTTACAGATTTATTATTATGATAAATTTAAATTTATTCATGAAATTTAAAATATTAGTTGAATAATAATTTGTTATTTATTAGATCTAATTATATAAATTTATTTTTATTCCTGAAAATTAAAATACCAGTAAAATACCAGTTGAATAATATTTAGTTATTTATTTCTGATACTATAATATTATTACAGATTTACAGATTTAATACTATAAATTTATTTTTATTCCTGAAAATTAAAATACCAGTTGAATAATATTTAGTTATTTATTTCTGATATTATAATATTATTACAGATTTACAGATTTATTATTATGACAAATTTAAATTTATTCATGAAATTTAAAATATTAGTTGAATAATAATTTGTTATTTATTTCTAATATTATAATATTATTACAGATCTAATTATATAAATTTATTCCTGAAAATTAAAATACCAGTAAAATACCAGTTGAATAATATTTAGTTATTTATTTCTGATACTATAATATTACAGATTTAATACTATAAATTTATTTTTAATCCTGAAAATTAAAATACCAGTTGAATAATATTTAGTTATTTATTTCTGATATTATAATATTATTGCAGATTTACAGATTTATTATTATGATAAATTTAAATTTATTCATGAAATTTAAAATATTAGTTGAATAATAATTTGTTATTTATTTCTGATATTATAATATTTTTACATTTAATATTATAAATTTAATTTTATTCCTGAAATTTAAAATATCAGTTAAATAATTATTAGTTATTTATTTCTAATATTATAATATCATTACAAATTTACAGATTTAATATTATAAATTTAATTTTATTCATGAAATTCACAAAATCAGCTGAATAATAATTTGTCATTTATTTTTAAGATTATAATACTATTATCATACATTTAATTTTATTCTTGAAATTTAAAATATTAGTTAAATAATTATTTATTAATATTATAAACTGATATTATATTTATTGATATTATGAAAAAAAAAATATAAAAATCGAAATGCTAAAATATCTGAGCTAAATTTTATAATAAATATGAAATCTTGAAAATATCTCAATAACTTAAAATGAATTTCAATTAAATTATTTAAAAAAAAAATAAATAAATCATATTAAATCATTGATTTTAATCTATTAATAATTTTTGAAATAAAAAATTATTATTTTCTTACAAAATGTTTACACACAACAAAAGTTGCAAAGAGCTAATTAATTAGTTAATTAATTAATTAATCATTTTTCTTCCTGTATGATCTCTCCCGGCATTAAAAAAACTGTTAATCAATTTAATTTAAAGTGCTTTTTTTTGTTGTTTTTAATTTCAGGTATGATATTTGTCAACATATGAATGATGTGCGCACTTGTCCAATTTCAAATCTTCAATTGATTGATTTGGAAAATCGCGCCCAGAATTGCGAACGAGCTAAAAATGTTCAGTTTTTTTTATATATATATATTAAATTTTTAAATTTTAGATATTTAAATTTTGAAAATTTTAAATAAATTTATTTGTTGCTTACATTTAAGCATGAAAATGCTTAAAGAGATCGAATTTTTGATCAAATGATTTCATATAAATTGACTAATAATTAATTTTGAAATTTATTTCAATGTTTATTGTAAAATTGAAATGCTATCAGTATTATATATTATAACTTTAAAAATGAATTTCATAAAGACATTTTAAATTTAAAATAAATAATAATAAGAGCAAATTAAAATTATTACTTTTGAAATAAAATTTAGTAATATAAATTTAAAATATAATTTGAATAAAATTTTTCAAATTTTCATTTGAATTATTTTAATAAAATTGCAAAAATATAATAAAAATAAATGGAAAAAAAATTAATTAATTTGAAATTTATTTCAATGTTTATTGCAAAATTTTAAATATATAATTAAAATACTTTAAAATTGAATTTATAAAGACATTTTAAATTTGAAATAATGATAAGAGCAAATTAAAATTATTATTTTTGAATTAAAATTTAGTAATATAAATTTAAAATATAATTTTAGTAAAATTTTTCAAATTTTCATTTGAATTATTTTAATAAAATCGCAAATATAATAAAAATAAAGGAAAAAAATTAATTAATTAATTTTTTTAGTTAAAATATATTTTATTTCGTGCTAGCATTGATTTGATTAATATTATTATAATGGAAGATTTGGCAATGATATGTATATCAATGGAACCGTGGCGCATATGTACCTGTAACTGTCATGAGTTATCCTTTTGCGCCAGCTTTTTATTTGGTATACTTCAGGTGATAAATATCTATTTTATCACTAAAAATTATCAAATTTTAATCAGTAATCAAAATATTTGTTATATAATTTCTTTTTCTTAATGAAATTTTTATAATTTTGAAAAAAATTAATCGTTTTTTTCCGTTCAAGTGATAAATATCCATTTTATCATTAAAAATTATCAAATTTTAATCAGTAATCAAAATATTTTTTATACAATTTTTTTTTCCTTTTTTCCTAAGTATAAAATTTTTGTAATTCTTTAAAAAATTAATCGTTTTTTTCTTTTAAGTGATAAATAAAATAGTCGCTTCTTTGTTTTCAAGTGATAAATATTTATTTTATCATTAAAAATTATCAAATTTTAATCAGTAATCAAAATATTTGTTATATAATTTCTTTTTCTTAATGAAATTTTTATAATTTTGAAAAAAATTAATCGTTTTTTTCCGTTCAAGTGATAAATATCCATTTTATCACTAAAAATAATCAGTAATCAAAATATTTGTTAAATAATTCTTATTTCTTTTTTTTTCTTAAACATAAAATTTTTGTAATTTTGTAAAAAATGTTTTGATAATTTTAATTACTAATCGAAATATTTTTCATTTAAATCTTTTTTCATAAACATAAAAATTTTTATAATTTTTTAAAAAATTAATCGTTTTTTTCTTTTAAGTGATAAATAAAATAGTCGCTTCTTTGCTTTCAAGTGATAAATATCCATTTTATCATTAAAAATTATCAAATTTTAATCAGTAATCAAAATATTTGTTAAATAATTCTTATTTCTTTTTTTTTTCTTAAACATAAAATTTTTGTAATTTTGTAAAAAATGTTTTGGTAATTTTAATTACTAATCGAAATATTTGTCATTTACATCTTTTTCCATAAACATAAAAATTTAATAATTTTTTAAATAATTAATCGTTTTTTTTCTTTCAAGTGATAAATATCCATTTTATCACTAAAAATTATCAAATTTTAATCAGTAATCAAAATATTTGTTATACAGTTTTTTTCTTTCCTAATAAAATTTTTGTAATTTTTTAAAAAATTAATCGTTTTTTTCTTTCAAGTGATAAATATCCATTTTATCATTAAAAATTATCAAATTTTAATCAGTAATCAAAATATTTGTTAAATAATTCTTATTTCTTTTTTTTCTTAAACATAAAATTTTTATAATTTTGTAAAAATGTTTTGAATATTTTAATTAATAATCAAAATATTTGTCATTTAATTCTTTTTCCATAAACATAAAAATCGTTTTTTTCTTTCAAGTGATAAATATCCATTTTATCATTAAAAATTATCAAATTTTAATCAGTAATCAAAATATTTGTTATACAATTTGTTTTTCTTTTTTTCCTAAGTATAAAATTTTTGTAATTTTTTAAAAAATTAATCGTTTTTTTTCTTTCAAGTGATAAATATCCATTTTATCATTAAAAATTATCAAATTTTAATCAGTAATCAAATATTTGTTCTTATTTCTTTTTTTTCTTAAACATAAAATTTTTATAATTTTGTAAAAAATTAATCGTTTTTTTTTTCATTTCAAATGATAAATATTCATTTTATCATTAAAAATTATCAAATTTTAATCAGTAATCGAAATATTTGTTATATAATTTCTTTTTCTTAATAAAATTTTTATAATTTTTTTTTTCAGTTAGATATTAAACAATTTATCAAATACTCATTGTACAATGATAATGATAATAAATGGCTTGAATGTGGATCAATTTTTTCAAGATATCGAATTTGAAATTCGATTACCATTTGCATCTAAAAATTTATATCTTATAACGAAAAAAATTTCTAAAAATGCATGATGAATATTTTTGATTTAAACAATTTAATCTAATATTAATTAAATTTGAATTTAAATGAAATGAGAAAATTAAAATTTCAAATTTTGATAAAATATAAAAATGCTGAAAATAATTTTTTTCATTTCTTTTTTCACTTTTAATTGATCTTTAATCTTTGTTAGTTATTTTTTTTAAAAAAATTTTTTCATCAAAATTTACTAATTCTTCTTGATTAATGTCTAGAAAAAATAATTTTATTTGTTTAACTAGCAGAAAAATTATAATACTTATAAACAAATTGCGAACTTTGTTTTTGTTTTTGTTTTTTTAATTACAATTAAAATTTAATTATAAAAAATTTGCTATGCTTCCTAACTTTGCATTTTACTAACTTTTTTTTTAAAATTTGTTTGAAATATTTGTGTAATCTTTTGGGTTAAATGAAACTAAATGTGTGGTTGTTATGGAAGTTTTGGGCGAAGATGATTTAAGGTAAGAGTTTCACATTTTTCTTTTTAATTTTAAAAATATGACTTAACTATTTATAATAATTTTATATATGCAAATTTAAAATTAATCAAAAAATTGATTGATGATTTATTAATTAATTATTTATTGTATGAATAATACAATTATTCGTTATCAGTATGTTTGGTGATTAGCTAATCATTTGATAAATGGTATCATCGATGATCTGAAAAGTTACAAATTAGCTAATCATTTGATAAATGGTATCATCGATGATCTGAAAAGTTACAAATTAGCTAATCATTTGATAAATGGTATCATCGATGATCTGAAAAGTTACAAATTAGCTAATCATTTGATAAATGATATCATCGATGATCTGAAAAGTTAGATTAATAGTAATAAAAAAAAAATCTTCACATATATATTTCAAAAATCATTTTGATAACTGTTTCACTTATTTAATTTCATTTACTGAAATAATTTGATAAAGTAATTTTCATTTATTGATTTAATTGATAAAAAAATTTCATTTATTGGAATTTTGATAATGAAATTTCATTTATTGATTTATAAAAAAAAAATTTCATTTACTGAAATAATTTGATAAAGTAATTTTCATTTATTGATTTAATTGATAAAAAAAAATTTTCATTTATTGAAATAATTTTGATAATAAAAATTTTTTACTTTTATTATTTATGTCCTATATTTTGTTTTGGATGAAAAAATTAATAACATTTTAGGCTTTATTTATTTTTTTTTAAATTTGATTGCTTAATTTGTGCATTTATTTAAATTTTAATTTTTTCATTGATAAAACATTTGGTAAACCATTCAAAAAGTTTATCAATTAATTTTATCAGATTTACTCTAAATGATTTTTTTTTTTTTTTTTTTTTGAAAATACTTAAAATATTTTTTTTTTATGGCTGATTTTATGCAAAAACTTACACAATCACAAATTAATAATGAACCTAAGCAACCTGGTTTTGGTCAAAGTATCATAGAACCATCAACAAAGTATGTTTAAAAATTTTATCAAAACTACTTTCATTTGTTTACAAATCAATTTTGAATTTGTTTACAATCGTTCCAATTGTTTTCAAATCAATTGCTACAATCATTCAATTGTTTAAAATTATTTATAATTCAATTTTGAATTTGTTTACAATCGTTCCAATTACTTATAATTCAATTTCGAATTTGTTTACAATCGTTCCAATTGTTTATAATTCAATTTTGAATTTGTTTACAATCGTTCCAATTGTTTACAATTCAATTTTGAATTTGTTTACAATCGTTTGTTTATAATTCAATATTCAATCGTTCCAACTGTTTACAATTCAATTTTGAATTTTTATATATTGGTTATTTGAAAACAACGATTTAAACATTATTAATTTTTCCAACGAACATAAGGTATTATCATTTTTTTTAATTTTAAATTAAATTATAAAATTATAATAATACTTAAGTTTAGAGCGTCTAAAAATTTTTAGCAGAATATGATAAGAAATAAATAAATAAATTAATCAATATAGTGATTAGAGATAACAATGATTAAAATGATTAAAAGATTAGAGATGATAATTAAAATGATTGAGATTTAATGATAACAATATTTATAAAAAAAAAAAAAATGAAATAGAATGAACCAAAATTGATTTGCTTAAATTACTTATAATCTAATCAAACAAAAATGAATGAAAACATTGACTATCCTTTGATCTATGTTTTATGATCATTATCAGGTCATAAGGTCAAAAAGTCAAAAGGTCATTAAACTTTGTATGAACGAAAAATTTCATTTTTCCTCCATTACTTCTCAATTTTTCTACTATTAAGTGCTCTGAATTTTAGAATACCATGAATTAATTTGCTAATTAAATTTTTTTAAAGTTAACTTTTGTTTCTTTCAGTATTGACTAGATTAAAATTTAAAATTCCATTTTTTTTTTTAGAAATCAGCAATTTGTCCAAGCAGTTCGGATACTTATACAGAAATGACTAAGTCTAAGTGCGCTTCTGGTACACTTCTCGATATTTATCATAATTTTTAAATATATATCAAATACAGTTCAAAAATAGCACTGCGACAAATGCATCCAATCAATTTAAATTGGTAAATTACCGCGCACATTAATTAGCATAGCAAATTTGATGATAATAATGATAAGCGCAATCAAAGCTTCTAATTTAATAATTTTGCTGATAATATGATTTAAATTTAAATTGGTAAATTACCTTTCACATTAATTAGCATAGCAAATTTGATGATAATAATGATAAGCGCAAAAGTCAAATTTAATAATTTTGCTGATAATATGATTTAAATTTAAATTGGTAAATTACCGCCTTTCATTAATTAGCATAGCAAATTTGATGATAATAATGATATAAAGTCAATTTAATAATTTTGCTGATAATATGATTTAAATTGGTAAATTATCGCCTTCACATTAATTAGCATAGCAAATTTGATGATAATAATGATAAGCGCAAAAGTCAAAGCTTCTAATTTAATAATTTTACTGATAATATGATTTAAATTTAAATTTAAATTGGTAAATTACCGCCTTTCAATTAATTAGCATAGCAAATTTGACGATAATGATGATAAGCGCAAAAGTTAAAACTTTTAATTCAGTAATTTTACTGATAATGTAATCTAATTATCTAAAAATGTTCTAATTTAATAATTTTATAATATATGATCTAATTATCTAAAAATTTTCTAATTAAATAATTTTGCTGATAATATGATTTAAATTAAATTACCGCCTTTGACATTAATTAGCGCAAAAGTTAAAACTTTTAATTCAGTAATTTTACTGATAATCTAATCTAAAAATGTTCTAATTTAATAATTTTACTGATAATATGATCTAATTGTCTAAAAATTTTCTAATTAAATAATTTTGCTGATAAAATGATTTAAATTTAAATTATTAAATTACCGCCTTCACATTAATTAGCATAGCAAATTTGATAATAATATAATAATGCGCAAAAATCAAAGTTTTTAATTTTAGAATTTTACTGATAACGTAATCATTTATCTTAAAATTTTTCTCATTTAATAATTTTACTGATAATATGATCTAATAATCCAAAAATGCACTATTTTGATACTTTTACTGATAATATAATCTAATTAACTAAGAGTTAAAAAAAAAAAAAGCAGTAGTGGAATAAAAAACTTAAATACTAAAAAAATTATATTATATCAAAATGCATTTCAAATATTTTTAATTTTCATTCTTTCCATAAATTATTAATTGCAACATTAATATCTTATATGATCAACAATTTGTTCAATTAATTAATTACTAATTAATATTTAATAAAATATTTTGTGTATAATTTTTATTAAGTAATATTTATTTGAAAATATTTATAGATTCGAAATGGTATTAATAATTTACATTTAATTGATACAAAATTAGAAAATAAAAGTAAGGAGAATAATAATTCACCAAAAGAAGAAATGTCACAATCAATATCGCATCATTCTCGAAAAATGCAAATGAGTTCATCGTATAATCAACGACCTTTGAACTGGGGCATTGACCCCAAAGTTATTTATGGTTGGGGTAATATTTCTTCAATAACAAAGGTCATTCATTCATTCATTTGTTTTTCTTATTTTTTGATAAATTTAATTTTTGTTTGAAAATATTTATTAAATTTTTGAATTGAAATATAAACAAATAATTTTAATGTTTTTTTAAAGTTTTACTTACATTCATATCAGATTTTTCAAATTAAAATTATCAAATTAAATGTTAAATTAAAAAAAAAAATTAAATATCAAATTTTTGCGGAATACTTTTAGTTTTTTACATATTTTATTGCAATTAATTTGAATAATTATTACTAATTATTATTAACTAATACGATTAATATTTTATAAATTTTTAATTGAAATATTTTAGTTAAATACTTAATAGAATATTTGCTAGTGACAAATAAATTTCATATTTTTATTAAATTTTTAAATTGAAATATAAGCAAAAAGTTTTACTAGAATATACTTTTTATATCAAATTTTTGTAGAATACTTTTTTTTTAAATGTTTTATTACTATTTGTTGAATACTTTGCATTATTACTAATTTTTGTTAACTTTACTATTATTATTGTATTATTTTTTAATTAAAATATTTTAATTAATAGAATATTTGTTAGTATTACTTAGTGATAAGTAATTTTTATTGAATAATAGGTTATCATATAATTATTAATTATTGTTCACTATTACAGTTAATTATTGCTATTATTAAAATATTTACTAGTAAATTCAAATTATTTATTTAGTTAATATTCAACAAAATACCTGTTAGTATTACTTAGTGATAAGTAATTTTCATTGAGTAATGTTTATTTAAAATTTTATTTAGAAAAAGTAATGTTTATTGTTTGTTTAAAATAATATTTGTAGGTTATTGTATAAAATTATTAAAGTATTTACCAGTAAATTAAAATTATTTATTGTCGTCGTATATTTTTTTAATTATTTTAATTAATATTTAATAAAGTACTTATTAGCATTATAAATAATATTTTTAGTAATGTTTATTTAAAATTTTATTTAGAAAAAGTAATGTTTATTGTTTATTTAAAATAATGTTTGTAGGTTATTGTACAATTATTAATTATTATTATATTATTTAATTATTATGTATTTACTAGTAAATTAAAATTATTTATTATCTCATATATTTTCTTTAATTATTTTAATTAATATTTAATAAAGTACTTGTTAGCATTACTTAGTGATAAGTAATTTTTATTTAATATTTTATTTAGAAAAAGTAATGTTTATTGTTTATTTAAAATAATATTTGTAGGTTATTGTATAATTACTAATTATTATTATTAAAGTATTTACTAGTAAATTAAAATTATTTATTATCGTCATATATTTTTCTTTAAATATTTTAATTAATTTTAATAAAATACTTCTTAGTATTGCTTAGTTAAATAATTTTATTGAGTGTTTAAAAATTTTTATTTAGAAAAATTAATGTTTATTGTTTATTTAAATAATATTTGTAGGTTATTGTATAACTATTGATTATTATTAACTATTATAATTAATGTATTTAAGTAAATTATTAAAATAACTTACACCACTAAGTATCGAAGTAATCGACTTACGGAACGAGCGGAAATGATTTTAACAGCGCTTAATCCAATTTCAATAATACTACCTACTTTATGTGCTTTCAAATGTCATAAACAACCAATTAATGAGAAAATAATCTTTTCATTCAAGGTAAATTAACTTTTTATTTATTTTCAAAAAATTACTATTTAAAAGTTTTAATTTTAATTTAACTTTCATTTCAAATACTTGATATTTTAACTATGGCTTTTACTTTTTACTTTATTTAACAACTAAATTAACATTTATTTTCAAAAAAATACTATTTAAAAGTTTTTATTTTAATTTTCAATTTTAATTTTAAACTTTAAATTTATTTCTTTCATTTCAATTATTTGATATTTTAACTATGGCTAAAGTTTACTTTTTACTTATTTAACTTACTATACAACCAAGGTAAATTAACTTTTTATTTATTTTCAAAAAATACTATTTTTAAATTTTAGTTTTTCAATTTTAATTTTAAACTTTAAATTTATTTCATTGATATTTTAACTATGGCTTTTACTTTTACTTATTTAACTTACTATACAAGGTAAATTAACTTTTATTTATTTTCAAAAATTTAAAAGTTTTAATTTCAATTTTAAATTTTAAATTTATTGCTTTCATTTCAATTATTTGATATTTTAACTATGGCTAAAGTTTACTTTTTACTTATTTAACTTACTATATAATCAAGTAAATAGTATTTAGATTCATTATTACCTGAAGTAAATGCGCATTTTGGTTTTACCACATAACATTTTTCCAAGGAGCTCGTATTGATGATGAATTGCTAAGAAATAATGCAAATAAGGACAATTGCGCCCGCTCTACCAAAATGCATTGTACAGTTACGATGATTTATGGCCGAGAATGCTATTTAAATGTTTTCACAAATAATCAAAATGTAGGATTGATAAGTTAATTTAATTTATTTTTTAAAAAAAATTTTTTTCTTCCAAAAAAAAAAAGAAGAAATTTAAACTGAACGAATTACTTTTATTTGTTACTATTATTGTTCAAATGATTTTGTAAAATTTATTTTCTTATTTACTGTTTATTTTTTAAAAAGTTTACTTCTTCTAAAGAACAATAAATTAATACAATAAGAAAAAATTTAAATTTTTTTTTTTTTTAAAAAAAAATAAATTATAGAATATGCAAATGATATGCTTTGATACATATACACTTTATCATGCGCAATTTGCTAAAATTGTTTATACACGAGAAAGATTTATGGATAATTGGAAAACAAATTTTTTTGGGACAAATTAGATTTATCAAAACGTTTACGACATAGTAAATTAATCATTCTTAGTGGTAAATTATTTTCTTATCAATTAATTTTTGTTTTTTAATTTCATTTCTTTTTCTAAAAGAGATATTTTATTTAAAGAAAAGTTAAAAATTTTTAGTTTTACTTTTTTGAAAAAAAAAAAAATTGTTGTTTTTGAAAAAATGTCTCGTGAAAAACTTTATGATTTTTAATAATAATATGATTAAGCATATAACGATGCTAATCATTGGTAATGATAATTACCAATGATAATTATGATGATTATGATAATTATTATCAATCTGATATCATTTAGCAATAAACAAACATATAGTGATATTAGATCAAAAGATGCAGAAATTGTTTGGTAAATAGTGCTTCATAAATAATAGTAATGATGATGATAATGATGATAATAATAGTAATAATGACGATGATAATAATAATGAAATAACTATTAGTAAGACAAAAATAATATTAATAATAATGATAATGATGATATGTAAGACATAAGTTTTTTAATAGTAATAATAATGGTATTAATAATAATGTGGTGATAATGGCGATAATAATTTAATGAATGATAACAATTGCTATTGATAAGATATACATTTTTTATTATCAGTAAAGTTGATAAATATGAATGATTTACTATAATATAGTTTAAATTTTCGTTATCATTATTCATTTCTTATCATTAAATTTGAATGATAAACTATTAAGAAAGCGAAATTTTTATAATATTGAAAATTTAAAGAATTAAATTTTCATTTTTAATTTCTTCTCTCTCTCTCTCTCTCTCTCTTTTCACTTATCTATCACTTTTGCTTTTTAAATTTTTATATTTTATTGTAGAATTAAATGTGCCAAATATTTTGCTAAAAGGTTTTATCAATCGACAAAATTTACTCCATTGGATTAATGGTAGTGAAATTATCATTCGTACTGGTGAGCCACGCTTAAGAATCTCTTCGGGTGATGAATGCTTGGATAAACAAAGGTTTCAAATTATTTAACTTTTCATTTTAATTATATTAAATTAAATTTTAATTATGTTTTTAATTATGGAAATTGATTAAAACTTACTTATCAAATTTCAAAAGGACATTACACGTATATCATAATTATTTCCAGAAAGAAGAGATTTTTAATGAATTACGTCTTTTTATTATCACGTGATATTACACGTATATCAGAAAGAAGAGAACTTGAGAATCTTTTTATTATCACGTGATACTACGTATATCATAATTAATTCGAGAAAGAAGAGTGTTTGAGAATTTTAATGAATTACTTTTATTATTATTATATTATCACGTGACATTACAAAAGAAGAGATTTTTAATGAACTACTTTTTTTATTATCATTATTATCACGTGATATTACACGTATGGACTTAAGATTTCTTTTATTATTATTATTGAATGTTTGCAAATAATAGTTAATTTTTAATTAAATTAAATCATAACTAAAATTTTTTTTTAAATGATATTTTAGCGATATAATATTACTAAAGTTAGCTGTAGCATCATCATTAATATCTTGGTTTCACGTATTACGTCAATTTCAAAATCAATTCATCATACATTAGTGAAATATAATGATTTGATATGCAAAAGCATTAAGTGAAGCACGCGATGATTTGGTTTGCATTTTAAAATTTAAAACTTTATTGGTTTGCATTTTTTTAAATTTAAAAAATTGAATGAAAAAAAAAAGATAAATTTAGTAAATTAAAATTACTTAATAATTTTATATAAAAAGAAATTCGCTCTTTTTTGCTCAAAAAAATTTTGCAAAAAAAAACAAAAAATTTTAGATTAATTAATTTTAGATTTTAACATTATGTAAAAGTTCATTAAATGATGTAAAACGCTATGCAATGGTAATGAATGCATGTGCAAGCTGCATGCTAATGCATTTCTTATTGCATTGCACAATGAATAAGGATGAAAATGAAAGATTGGATGAATCATTCATTTGATTTTGAATCGATCACTAATTCAAGATTTGATCGAAAATTTGCATTAATTTCATTATTGAATTTATGGCATCAATTACTTGCACCACATGTTAAAGTTATTCTTTAATCATTGATAGTAATAATAATCGGAAATGAATGTTTAAACCGGTTTTTGATCATTCCTAATAAATTTAATCAATCAGTAGGAAAGATATATTTTATTGTTAAACATAAAATATTTGCATAAAATGATTTAAATTTGATTTAAAATATTATTATTCATTAATAATGGATGATATTTTAGTTTAGTTTAGGAATATTTTCACAATTTAAAAATCTAAAAATTTTAATTTTTATATTTTTCACTTTGTATTAATTTCATTATTGAATTATTTGTACAAAATTGTATATCTAATTTTAATTTAGGCTTAGAATCTAGTTTTATACTAATTTAATTCTAATTTTATCAAAATTTATTAAAAATTAATTATCGCAGTAGTTTTTATTTATCAGCATAAAATTTTGATATTTAATTTCTAAATTTAATTTTAAATTATCTAAATTTAAAATTATAGGTTAGTAATTTGGCGACAGCTAAAAAATATTCTCGAGATTTACCATCTGAAAATATGAAATCAGTGACAGCTGCTGGTGAAGATAAATCAATGAAGCAAACTACAGGAACAACCGTATCGATTCCGGTTTCCGGTTCTATAGCAAATTCAGGTGTTAAAGGTAAAATCAGAATTAGCAGAACTGAAACTGATAAATTTAAAATTGAAAAACAACTATGCTAATATTATTTTAAAAAATAAATTTGTGATAATTTTTTTTTTTTTTTATAACTGAAAATCTTACAGTGAAACAATTCAATACTTTACCGTCTATATTTTTTTGGCCTATCTTTAAGGTATAATTAAAATTTGATTATAAAATTTTTATTTTTCGGATGATTATGAGAATATTTTACTAAATAATAATTTAGATATTAATTTTTTGAATAAAAAGTTTGAACAAAAAATATTTTTTATGGCATTTTAATAAAATTTAAATTAAATTAAATTATATAAACTGTTAATTTGTAATTTATTATTTTATCATTATCATTCATATTTAACATTTTAAAATTTTTCGTTTAAAATATTCCATTACAATTTAGATCAAATAATTATAAAAAAATTAAAATAAGAAATAATTTAAAAAAAAATTTTTTCACTTAATAATTTCAATATTTCAATGCATTATGATAAATCATATATTTATCATAATTTTTCATTTTAAATGATTAATTTAAAATTAATTTTGATTAATTTGCAGATTTATCATTTAGATACAAATATTTTATTTAAATTACCAGTTAAAAGAATTCATTTTTCATTCAAATTTATGATTGGAGAGTTTAAGGTTTATAATTAAAATTTTTTTTCTCAACTTTTTTAATTTATTTAATTCATTTTGAATTATATTAATGTGACAATGCAATTAACAAACAAAATTTCCAATTTTAAGCAAAGTAATATAATGGAAAAAAGTATTTTAAAGGAAGTAATATTTAATTTAAATTAATCTAAAAATTCAAATATTATAAAATAATTGAAAAAATTTGTTTACTATTAGCTTCAAGATAAACAACAAGAAGGAAAGTAGAAATAAATAGGATTGGTTTGTGGGGAATAATTCTAAAATAATTAAAAATTAAATTAAACAGATTTATTCGTCAAAGTTACTAATTGTCATTTTGGAGTAATAAATAAATTTTCATTTTCAAAATTAACAAATTTTAGAAATATTTATCTTTTAAAATTACTATAAATTTTATTTTTTTGTAATCAAAAAAAAAGGAAAACCGGAAATGCTTTATTAAAATTAAAAAATGCAATTAAAAATTTTACCAATTTATAAAATTTTACCAATTTATTTGTAGCAAAAACTTATTTAAAATTTATTTATTTAAAAATTTCATATAATTTTATAAAATAATAATAAATTTTTATTTTTTTTAGATATATTTAGTTGAATTAATAAGAAAAAAATCAAACAATTCAACAACAATCATTTTTCTTACTTTTGGATACGATAACTGTTGATTCAGCAATTATTTATAATATTTTAATGGATAATCAACAATTGAATGCAATAAAGTAAATTAAAAATAATTTAAATTTTTCTTTCTTAAAAAATAATTTAAATTTTAGAAATAATTTTTATTCAAATAATAATTATATTCATAATTATTAATTTTGCTATTCTCATAAATTAATTATTTCAAAAAAAAAAATTACTAATTACCAATGAAAACTAAAATTAAAGATAAACTGACCAAATAATTTTTAATTCTGAAATAATTCAATAAAATGACAACAAAAAAAAAATAAATAAATAAACGCTGAAGATTTAATTTGAAAATTATATGACAAAAATTATTAATCAATAATAATTTAAATTTATTCAATTCAACTATTACTTTTTCATATGCTAATTTCTAATGCTAATATACTACAATAATTTTTATAATTGAAAATTTGCTACTAACCTAATTAAACTTTCATAAATTTTTAATTTAGATAAAATTAATTAACAAAAAAATTAAATTTTACGTTTAATCGCAATTTTGTCATTTTTTAAATTTTAGATTAAAAGTGGAAAATTATTATTAAATTAATTGTTGAATATAATTCCTTTTAAAAAATTAGAACAAATAAAAAACAAAACAAAAAAATTTTTTATTAAATTAATTGTTGAATATAATTCATTTTAAAAATGAAAATAAATATTTGAAAAATAAAGTTTTGCTTTTTTTTTAAAATTTTAATAAAATTTATCAATTTAATTTTTAGTCTTTCATTTCCTCCACTTTTTTTCAGGACATTTTTAACAATAAACTTTGAAACGCTTTTTCCACGCATTGAATTATTTTGTACGCAAACAGTTTTGCATTTGCTAAATGAATTATTTCAAAGTGTCGCATACTGTATGACAGTAACACCTACCGTAACCTCAGTGATTCATTTGGATGACACACAAAATTCGATTAGTAAAACAGCTGAATCAGTTATTGTTGAAAATAGCGAACGAAAACAGCAAAAATGGATTGTGACATTGTTAAATTTGTTTCGAAAAAACAAAATGAATAAGTTTGTGTTTAATTTGTTTTAATTAATTAATTTTTAATTTTAATTTACATACAAATAATTAGTAATTGACCACCCGTACATTGATAATTGTTGAGTTAATTGATTAATTTATCTATATCTATCTACCTGGTCGATCTATCTGATCTATCTATCTGATCCATCTCTCTAATCTATCTATATCTTTGCTCTATCTGATCTATCCATCTGATCTATCTATTCTCTATTCTATCTGATCCATCCATCTGATCTGTCTATCTGATCCATCTCTCTGATCTATCTCTTTCGTTTATCTGATCCAACTCTCTGATCTATCTATCTCTTTGATTTATCTGATCTACCCAGCTGATCTGTCTATCTGATCCATCTCTCTGATCTATCAGGTCTATCTACCTGATCCATCTGATCTATCTGATCCATATCTCTAATCTATCTATCTCTTTGATTTATCTGATCTATCCATCTGATCTATCTATTCTCTATTCTATCTGAATCATTCATCTGATCTGTCTATCTAATCCATCTCTCTGATCTATCAGATCTATCTGACCCAACTGATCCATCTATCTCTCTGTTCTATCCGATCCATCTATCCAATTTATCTCTTCGATTTATCTGATCTATCCATTTGATCCATCTATATATCTGATCCATCTCCCTGATCTCATCTGATCTATCTACCTGATCCATCTGATCTATCTGATCCATCTCTCTAATCTATCTATCTCTTTCATTTATCTGATCCAATTCTCTAATCTATCTCTTTGATTTATCTGATCTATCCATCTGATCTATCCATTCTCTATTCTATCTGATCCATCTCTCTGATCTTTCAGATCTATCTAACCCAACTGATCCATCTATCTCTTCGATTTATCTGATCTATCCATTTGATCCATCTATCTATCTGGTCCATCTCTGATCTCATCTGATCTATCCTGATCTATCTGTTCTATCTATCTGATCCATACTGAATTATGCATATTTAATTATCTTCAAATATATTTATTTATTATATTTAATTATCTTCAAATTGAAATATCTGAATTATTATCGTTTTAGTATGTTTAGCAATTTTCATATTTAATGAAATTTTAATTTTCTCATCATTTTACAAGTGATCGTTTGATTTATCCTAAATTTCAATTTGCAACGGTAAAATAAATTTACAAAATAAATTCATAAACAATTATGATCAGCAATGAGAAATTAATTATAATCTTATAGGAATGAATTATTTGTAATTTTAAAATGCTTTTTTTTTTAAAAAAAAAAATTATCATTTATTTTTCAGTGAAAAGATTGAAAAACTAAAATCAAACATTGCAAATTTTTCAATTACCATTAATAATAATATTATTATTTCTGCAATCAAATTTGAATCAAAAATTATGCATCTGATCTTGATGTTACGAATTTTCAATAGTAAAGTAAGTTATTAAAATTATTAAAATATTTAAATAATCATATAACTTTATAATATCTCACAAATACGTTTGATAAATTTTAAAACAACTTTTAAACTTATTTCTAAAATAATAATATTATATTTTTGGATAAAAAATTAAAAGTTATATATGTAATTTTTATTATCAATTCATCAAATATTCATTAATTTCTAGTTATTTCTAAGAAAATTACTTAAATTTACTTTTTATATTATAATCAAAATTAACAAAAGAAAAAAAATTAAATTGATCATTTGATTAAAATTTTAATTAAAACATATAAATATGCAAATTTAGTGAATTATTTCAGCCTAATAAAATTAAATTGAAATAATTTAGTAAAAAAAAATTAAATTAAATTAAACAGTTTGATAGAAATAAAAATTAATAAATTGTAGCTACAACACAACAATGCATATCTTATAAATGAACCAAAAAAAACAATTCAAGAAGTTTCAATTGCAATTCAAGATATTAAAATGATGATAACCGAGAAGGGAACAACTGATATAAATATTTTTCATGGATCGCTTACTACTGTTACGAGTACATTTCGAAGGTAAAATAGTAAATTTAAAATAAATTTAAGTATTAATTTTTCTTTTTTCCCTTTTTTGTTCCGTAAAAGAAAAAGTAATTTAATTAAATTTAAAGTTTAATTTTGTTAATGATATCAAAAAGAAATTAATAACAATATTTTGGGAAAATTTTGAAAATAAAGCGAAATTGTATAATAATAATAAAAATTTGAAATAAATTTAAATATAGTTGTAATTTTTTTTTGCTCCATACAAAGACAAGAAATGATTTAATTAAATTTAAAGTTTAATTTTGTTAATGATATCAAAAAGAAATTAATAACAATATTTGGGGAAAATTTTGAAAATAAAGCGAAATTGTATAATAATAATAAAAATTTGAAATAAATTTAAATATAGTTGTTTTTTTTTTTTTGCTCCATACAAAGACAAGAAATGATTTAATTAAAAAAGTTTAATTAATAATGATATCAAAAAGAAATTGATAGCAAAATATTTTAGAAAAATCTCAAAATAAATAATTTTCATTATTTTACAATTTTACATATTTTAATTTTCGTTATTTTACAATTTTATAACTTTATTTATAACAAATTTTATAACTATAACTGAAATTTTATAACACTATTTAGCAATTTTAATTTTACAATTTGATTTATTAACTGAAGTATTAATTTAAAAAGAAAAAAAGTAGTATATAAGTATATAAAATCGAATGTATTAAAGCTCTTTAAAAAAATTTTTTTTTCAAAACAAAAGTTTTTCTTTTAAATAATTGAATTTTTAGATTGTATGAAGCGAACAATTTATTAAATACTATTTGTTTGACTGTGGAAAATATAAAATTAAATTACATTATTGGAAGTTCATTTATGATAAAAGCAGATGATAAGATATATAGTGATAACGATGATAATGATAAGGAAGATTATCAATTTGCAGTAAGTTAATACTCTTAAAACTTTCGCTAATATAATGGATTATTATTTATATTTAAAACAAGAATTAATGATTAAAATTTTAATATCATTTTATTTGGCTGTGAAATTTCACTTTAATATTTTAAAATATATAATAAATTCATTCATGAATTTAATTTTTATATATATTTAAAAAACAAATATTAAAAAATAAATTTGTGCTAGAATTTCATTATAAGTTGTTAAAGTGATAAAATACATTTATCTCTTAGCATTTAATTAATTATAATTTGAAAATGTTTAATTAATTTTTATTTGAAATATTTTTTTTGTAAAGTTTTGCTTAATTAATCAAATTAATTGTATAAAAGAAAGATAGCATGATAGGCAATTAAATTTGTGATAATTTTGATAAGCAAATGATTAAGCTTTCATTTAAACTTTAAATTTACTTCAATTTTTTTCCAAATTTTGTAATTCATTTATTTTCATCAATTTTTTATTATATTAATTCATAAAAAAAATTTCTCAAAATTTTAAAATATCTCTAAAAAGCTGAATTAGCTTCTATTTATCATTTTTTTTTTTTTTGTTCAAAATAAAATGTCAAACAAACAATAAAAAAAAATAAAAATAAAAATAAATAAATTCAAAATAACTATGAAATAATCATTAATGGTGGAATAATTTAGGATAAAGTTTTAAAATTATTTAAAAAAATGAAAAGGAAAGAAAAAAAACAAAAAATCAAACAAACAATCAAAAAAAATAAAAATAAAAATAAATAAATTCAAAATAACTATGAAATAATCACTAATGGTGCAAAAAATTCAGGATAAAATTTTAAAATTATTTAAAAAAAATGAAAAGGAAAGAAAAAAAATTAATTTTTTCAATATTGTGCTCTTTCTCAAGCGTGATCAAACTTATCTGTTATCACTCTTATCAATCATTATCATATATTAATTATTATCTTTATCAGTGGATGATAAATTTCTATATTACAGTCTTCAATAGCTGAACAACAATGGATTAATGAAAATGAAAACATTACAAAGTTTAATTTTGATATGAAATTATTACATGGAGAAATGAATGCTAAAATTTCATCAAATGTTACAGCAAAATATAATTTCAAAAATGCGCATTGTTTTGGAACTTTGTAAGCAATGTTTTCTTCTTTTTTTTTATTTTATTTGTTTATTTTAATATTTTCAAATTTATTAATAAATAATTTTATAAAATATTTTGAGTTAAAATTTATATCAATAAAATATGAAATTAAATATAGGAAACTATGTTTTCTTCTTTTTTTTAAAGTTATTTTATCTGTTTATTTTAATATTTTCAAATTTATTAATAATTAATTTTATATAATAGAAAATTTTGAGTTAAAATTTATATCAATAAAATATGAAATTAAATATAGGAAAGTATGTTTTCTTCTTTTTTTAAAGTTATTTCATTTGTTTAATTTAATATTTTCAAATTTATTAATAAATAATTTTATGTAATAGAAAATTTTGAGTTAAAATTTATATCAATAAAATATGAAATTAAATATAGGAAATTATGTTTTCTTCGTTTTTTTAAAGTTATTTTATTTGTTTATTTTAATATTTTCAAATTTATTAATAAATAATTTTATGTAATAGAAAATTTTGAGTTAAAATTTATATCAATAAAATATGAAATTAAATATAGGAAACTTTTTCAAAAATTGAAATATTATATGATATAAATTAGTATTTTTATTTATAAAAATTAATAAATATTAGTTAACAAAATGCTAAATTTTTTAAGTACTATAAATATTTTTAATTTCTATCAAACTATATTTTTGTCTGTTTTCTTTTATTTCTTTTTATTAATTTATTATTTTATCTGATTAATATGAATATACACCAATTTAATACCATATATTAATTTTAGGTAAATTTAAAAATTAATTTTAGTCCTAAAAAAGGCAAAATATCAATTGAAAATCATTTTATCACATCATTTTAGCAATAATTTATTACCTTATATTAATTTTAGGCAAATTTAAAAACTAATTTTACTTCCAAAAAAGGTAAAATATCAATTGAAAATCATTTTATCACTTGTACACATATATTTTATCACATTAAAATCATTTTATCAGTTTATCACATGAAAGTCATTTTATCATTTTATCACATATACATCATTTCAGAATTAATTTAATACCTTATATTAATTTATATCATTTTGAGTCCCAAAATTCAATCATTTTATGAAAAATGAAAATGATATATATGTGTAGAAGTGATAAAATGATCTTCAATTGATATTTAAGTAATTTATTTATTACCTTATATTGATTTTAAGTAATTTTAAAAACTAATTTCAGCCCCAAAAAAGGTACAATATCACATGAAAGTCATTTTATCATTTTATCACATATAAATCATTTTAGCAATAATTTATTACCTTATATTGATTTTAGACAAATTTAAAAATTAATTTTCAGTCCTCAAAAGGGTACAATATCAATTGAAAATCATTTTATCATTATATCAGGATTTAGGAAATTTTTCCATTAAATTACCATCATTATTGATTGTATATGAGAAATGTATAAAAAATGAAAATGAAATTATTCAAATTGATAATAAACAAATTATATGCTCTAATGAATCATATGCTAATATTGTTATCACTGCTGGTAAGTAAATCTTTTCTGTTGTATGTGAATATTAATCAGTGATTAACTTTGATAGAATTTAGGAAAAGAAGTAAAAACTCTAAAGATAAAGAAAGAAATATGAGAAGCTTTATGATAAAAGTATGATAATAATGAATTAATCAGTACTAGTATGATAACAATGAATTAATCAGTACTAGTATGATAACAATGAATTAATCAGTACTAGTATGATAACAATGAATTAATCAGTACTAGTATGATAACAATGAATTAATCAGTACTAGTATGATAACAATGAATTAATCAGTGCTAGTATGATAACAATGAATTAATCAGTACTAGTATGATAACAATGAATTAATCAGTACTAGTATGATAATAATAAATTAATCAGTACTAGTATGATAACAATGAATTAATCAGTACTAGTATGATAACAATGAATTAATCAGTATTAGCATGATAATGACGATTTAATCAGTAATCAGTTTTATTTATTCAATAAACTTTTATGCTAAAATTATGCTAATAAAAGAAATCATTACAAAAAAATAAAGAAAAAAGTATGAAAAACTTTATGATAAAATTATGATAACAATGAATTAATCAATACTTACTTGTTTTTATTTGTTTAATAAAATTTTATACTAATGTTATACTGATAAAAAAAATCATTGTAAAAAGTAAGGAAACAAATACGAGAATGATAACAACGAATTAATCAGTAATCAGTTTATTTATTTAACAAACTTTTATACAAATATTATGCTAATAAATTTTTATAAAAAATGAACAAGAAAATGTGAGCAAATTTTATGATAAACAAATGATAACAATCAATTAATCAGTATTTACTTGTTTTTATTTATTTAACAAACTTTTTACTTATATTTTATTTATTTAACAAACCTTTTTACTTATATTTTATTTATTTAACAAACTTTTTTACTTATATTATATATTAAACTTTTATACTTATATTAGAAGTGATAATATTATAATAAATAATATAAATTTATCATTTAGGAAGTTTTGATCAATCAATCAATACCGATGTTTTAAATATGTTACTTTATTCGCATGAAACAGCAATTGCTGAATTTGAACATATTATGAGTATTGTACGTAGTTCAACTGCATTTCATCGAAATTCAATTTATAATTCATCGTTTCTTTTTCAATTACAAGTATTAAATTTGATTTATTTATTAATTTTAACATTTTTTTTTTCATTTTTTAAAAAAATAACCATATGATAGTTCTAATTTAAAAAAAAAACAAACGAAAGGTAATTAAATAATTGAAAAGAAATCACATTTTTTTGCTATTTTTAATGTCTATTAATTTAACAGAAAATTAAATTCACAAAAATTTCTTCGAGAAATAAAAATTATTTTCAATGAATTAATTTGGTTACAAAAAAAAAAAAAAAGTGAATTTAATTTTGCTACGATATTCATTTTAATGATAGCATAAAAATGAAATAATTAAAAATTAAAATTTTATAATTAAATTGGAGTAATAATTAAAAATTTTGATTTATGTGTTCAATGATTACTTCAAAAAAAAAAAAGAAATAGTAAAAAAATATTTTTAAATAAAATTATAATTTTTAATTTGATAGCATAAAAGTAAAATAATTAAAAATTAAAATTTTATAATTAAATTGGAGTAATAATTAAAAATTTTGATTTATATGTTCAATGATTACTTCAAAAAAAAAAAGAAATAGTGAAAAAATATTTTTAAATAAAATTATAATTTTTAATTTTTAATTTTAAGATACAATGTGAAAATGTTTCACCATGGTTAAAATTAACATTAACTGATACAACTAATACAGCATTACGTATTACAACCGAAGTTGTTAATATGTTTATTATTGGTCGAAATATTTTAAATAATAATAAGAATATTTTTGAGGTTAAATTTTTCATTGCATATTTTTTTTTTTTTTTTTTGTATTAAACAAAAAATTAAATTTAACACTTAAATTTTAAATGATAATTGGTAAAATTTGTCACAGAAAATTGCCATATTAATATATTTTTGACGAATGCTATTTAATGATTATTAATTAATTAAAAAATGCTATTTAATGATTATTAATTAATTAAAAAAAAAAATACAAGAAAGCATTGTTAATAAGTTGTTACGTCTTTTACGCTTACTTTTGACGTTTATAACGTTTATACTGTTTTTAAAACGTACTTTTAATATTTTGAAAGATTGAAGGAGAAAATGAAAAGCCATATTATTATATTTTTGACGATTGCTATTTATTATATTATTAATTAATTAAAAAAAAAATACAAGAAAGCATTGTTAATAAGTTCTTACGCTTTTTACGCTTACTTTTGACGTTTATAACGTTTATACTAATTTTAAAACGTACTTTTAATATTTTGAAAGATTGAAGAAGAAAATGAAAAGACATATTATTATATTTTTGACGAATGCTGTTTATTAATTATTAATTAATTTTAAAAAAAGCAAGAAAGCATTGTTAATAAGTTGTTACGTTTGTTACGCTTAATTTTGACGTTGATGACGTTTATACTATTTTAAAACGTACTTGTAATATTTTGAAAGGTTGAAGAAAGAAAATGAAAATTACAGTTATAAACAGATACGAGGTAATGACAAGAAAGCATTGCTAATGACTTGTTACGCTTGTTACGCTTAATTTTGACGTTGATGACGTTTATACTTTTTTAAAGCGTACTTTTAATCTTTTGAAAAATTGAAGGAGAAAATGAAAATTACAGAAACAGATATGAGGTAATAACAAGAAAGCACTGATAATAACTTGTTACGTTTGTTACGTTTAATTTTGACGTTGATGACGTTTATACTATTTTTAAAGCGTACTTTTAATCTTTTGAAAAATTGAAGGAGAAAATGAAAATTACAGAAACAGATACGAGGTAATAACAAGAAAGCACTGATAATAACTTGTTACGTTTGTTACGCTTAATTTTGACGTTGATGACGTTTATACTATTTTTAAAGCGTACTTTTAATCTTTTGAAAAATTGAAGGAGAAAATGAAAATTACAGAAACAGATACGAGGTAATGTATCGTTTTGTTTGAATTTCAAACTTGGACATATGATTCGAAATGAAGCATTTGAGGAAGATGAACTTCGAGAGTTAGCTGATCTTACAACTAATGTTTGTGTTTTAAATTTTAAATTTTAATTTTAAATTCATTAATATCATTTCTTATACGCTTCAACTATTTGATAAATCAGTCATAATTTGTTATAATTTTGCTAATTAAATTATATTATCAAATTATCAGCTTTATGAAATATAAAAATTTTTGATTATTTCTCATAAATTACTTAAAATGAAGCACAATTTTTAATAAAAAAAAAATTTAAAAAAATTGTTTTAAAGTTTTAAAATGATTTTTCTTGAATTGAAATATATCAAAATTTTTGAAATTAATGATCTGATAATTATTTTAAAATTATATTTAAAAAAAAAAAGTGAAATTAATCTTTTGTGACACTGTGACACTAATTTTTTTTCCTAATTTTCAGTTAACATTTATACTTCAGTTCAGTCCTAGAAGTATTGCTAATGCTATTATCATTTTCTCTCATACTGTAATTTTATTCAAATTTCCGGCAATTATCAGAGTATCCAACTAATTATATTTTTTTTTAATTAATTTATTAATTCTTTTATTATAATTAATTTTTGTATATTTAATGAATGAAAGACAATTATTTTTAATTTAATTAACAAATAAAAATTAATTTTTATAAAAATAAAATGCATAAACAAAAAAAACATTGTAACTCTTTCATTTCTTTATAAGTTATTAGTTTTATCACTTTTTTTTTTCACTTAACTTTTGAATTGAACTTTTATTTGAATTGAAATTTGAACTTTTAACAAATTTTTTTTTTCATTTCAAATTTTTACAAGCTTTTATTGTTTATTTATTTTTGAATTTTTAATTTTAACTAATTTTTTTTTTCATTTCAAATTTATACAAACTTTTGTTGTTTACAAGTTTATTTATTTATTTTTTTTTTAGGCGAAAGATATTTTACGAGATTTTAGCTTATCACGTAGTTTTTGGATGAAACAAAAATGCGTCATACAACGCAAACTGAAAATGATTCATCGCAAATGACGTCGCATAGTTCACTTTTGGTACTATTTTAAACAAATTGATTAATTTAAAAATAAAAATTTAAAAATCAAAAAAAAAAATCAAATTAAATGAAAATGATTCGTTTAGAATCATTTCTTATATATATTAATGAACCTCACAATACTATCTAAATTGGCTTAGGAAAATTATTTGGCTAATTTTATGCTAAAAATTTATGATAATTTTGAAGCAGCAAGTTCATTTCAAAAATTTAATTGAAATTAATTCATATAGAATATTGTGAGGATTAATTAATATATATAAGAAAGGATTTAAAAAAATGATTTTAGAGGTATTTTTTTTTCTTTCAACTAACTTAAAATTAACTAATGACTTAAAAACTTAATAAAAAAAACTTGAAAACTTTAACCAACTTAAAAATTTACTAGGCTTAACTTAATTTAAAAGTAATTTAAGTTAAAATTATTGACTGAAATAGGTTTAAATTTTATTGAAATTATCAAATGATATTTGATTTGTATATTTTAGGATATGGGAAATCGTTTAATAATGCGAATAACATTACTATTTCGTGATCGTACAATAGCATGCATACCGCTTTACAGTAACAATTATCGATCATTTACGTCTGCGCTTCTATTTGGCGTAAAAGACGCTGAAGCTACGGTTAAATTTGTACGTGGCGCTAAAGCTGAAGCAAAATTTAGCGATTTTAAAATTGTTTTTGTGGAAAATTTTGAAAATGTTAGTGATATGTTATAAATGATAAGCTATTTTTTTTTTACAATTAATTATTTAGAATTATCTTAATCTTAAAATTTTAGTATTTATTTACTTGGATCATTCACTGATAGTGAATGTTTTAAAAATTCAATTTCGAAGTTTTAAAAAAAAAAGAAAAAACAAAATGAAACAGTAATAGGCAACGTACAATAATTATTTATTAAATTATTATTTTGTCTCATATTTTTATAAACAAAAAATTTTTTATCTTTTTTTTAAAAAAAACAAAAAACAAAATGAAGCAGTAATAGGCAACGTACAATAATTAGTTATTAAATTATTATTTTATCTCATATTTTTATAAACAAAAATTTTTTCTCTTTTTTTTTCTTTTATTTAATTATCACACAAAAAGAGAAAAAAGTTTATCAAACCATTCTTTACATATTATATCAATTTTATAATAATTTACAAAAAAAATGGTACAACTTAATGAATGATAAGAAAAGTTAATATTATAGACTAAAATTTCTTGATTTTTTTTAAATTCTTTTTGTTTTTTTCTTAATTCTTAGAAAGATACCAAGATGGTACTGTATTTTAGTCTATGGAAGAATCCTGGATTGATGGCCAAGAAAATACACCAACAAATTTTACATTCTTTCCGCATGGTGTTTGCAAAATTGTAGTGAAATCTTCAAAATCGGAACAATATAAACGAGTAGCATCTGTGCAATGCTCAATGAAAGGTCTTATCTTTGATATTGATAGTGTAAGTTATACTTTTTTTTTTTTCGACTATTAAAAAGTTTTTAAGTAATTTTTAGTTTTATATATAAATTTAGTAAAGAAGTATTTCCAACATTTATTCTAATTAGTAAATAATTTTTGCAAATTGATTTAGTCAGAAGTGAAGATATTTTAAAAATTTAATTAAATAACTAATTAAATATTAAGTTTCAAAGGTAATTTATAATGAAATTGAAAATTTTTTCTTTGAAATGTAAATTTTCTTCTCTCGAATATTATTTGAAAAAAGTTTTTTTTTTTTCAAAAAAAAAGATTGAATAATTTGACAGCGTATTGGAAATTTGATTGGAGCAGTGTGGAATACATGTGCAACAATTAATGAAGATCAAGATGTAGATGTAAGTGAATATGAACCGATGAAAATTATGACAAGTGAAATTGAACGAAATGATGATATTAATCTGAAAAATGAATATGCGTCCATTGTTAAACCGGAAAAACGAATTCGTTGGGTTGAGCAAAAGGTTGTAAATATTATTGTTTACATTTGAAAGAAAGAAAAAAAAAGCATCTAAAATCGAAAAAAAGCAAAAAATTGGAAAAAAAGTCAAATTTTTGGTGCCATATTATTTCTCAATTACTTTCAGATCTAATCTAAGGTTCAAAAAAATAACAAAAAATAAATATTGAAATTAAGAATTTGTTTTATCTTTATTGCATTTTCGCATGGATTTACTTTAAGTTAATTCTCTTTAAAATATTTACGAGTTGAAGTAAATGAGTAACTCTAGGAACAAGGATATATAGTATCAATTGTAATATTAAATAAATTTAGGCAGGTTTAACTAGAATGAATAAGTCTCAAAATTTTATGATATTTGTTTTTTTTTTTTTTTTTTTTTGATGTATAAGTTATTTAATAAATAATAATTTTTACTTTTGACTGAGATAGCTGTCATCCAGATATCTCAAAGTAATTCCGATTAAGTAATTAACAGGTCAAGGAGATGAAGATAGCATTCTTGCTCATAAACTCATCAAACAAAAATAATGCCACAGTTTCAATAATATTGAATACAGTACTTACTCAAACACAGTAGTAAAATCTCAATTAGTGTAGTACTATAGTAATTGATATCAGAGTTACCGTATCTGTCAGATAAGGTACAGTACCAAATAGAATGTAAGTTAAATACAGTACTTATTCAAGTATGAGTTTTCATAACAAAGTACAGTAATACTGCATCCATAAGACAAATACAGTACCGAGTAAGTCTCAAATAGAATGCAATGTTTAATACAGTACTTTCTCAAACGTAAGCTTTCATACCAGAGTATAGTATTACAGTATCCTTTAAGCAAGTGTAGTACCAAATAGAATGCAATGTTAAACGCAGTACTTTCTCAAATATTGACATTCATATTGGAGTATAATACTACAGTATCCTTCAGACAAGTACAGTACCAAATAGAATGCAATGTTAAATACAGTACTTTTTCAAATACAAGCGTTCTATGAGATTTTAGAGAAAAAAATCAAAGCCAATTAAACAATAAGAAAAATCTGAACAAATAGAAGTTACTTTATGGTTAAGTCTTTTCTGTAATAGATGGTTTATTTAAGAAAATCAGAGTTTAAGTTTAATTAGAAATGAGTGCTTAAAATAATAAAATGATTTCTGAAATTGGAAATAAATCAGCGTATAATTTTGATAATATTCTTAGGATTGCTTAAACAAATTGGTACATGTAAAAAACAACAAAAGAAAAAAAATTTCTAAACAATATTATTTTCTAAAATAACAAAAATATATATATAACAAAAACTAAGATAAGATAACAAAACAAAATAAGCATACACAAAAAATATAATAACAAATTAATGTTAAATTATCAGGATGTTATCTTGCTAATAAAAATTTTTAGATTTATGAGCAAACGCAGAAATTAAAGTCACACATAACAGATGTCACATACGAATGGGAACTACGACGTTTGAAAAAACTTCAATTAATTCGAGTGAAACAATTTAAGGAATCAATGCTTGATCGTTTAAAACGACAAAAATTACGAGGCAAACAATTGAAAAAGCACCAGTTAGAAAGGTATTTCTAAACAGGAAAATTTTATTTAAATAGATATTTGTTCAAATATTTCTCTAACACACATTTTATTTGATCATTAAAATATAATAATAAAAGTTGTAATATTGAAATAATTATTGTAGATTTTAGATTTTAATAAATTAAAATCAATTTATTAATTCAATGAATTAGAATATTAGGCCAATCTAAACCCAAATTATCTTTGCTGCTAGTTCAAGTTTAATCCCTTGATTAATAAAATTAAAAGTTATACTTTATCTAATTTCAAATTCATCAGATTGATTATCACTATTAAATTTAATTCATTAAATTGATAATATACATACTGATAAAAAGCAAAAAATATCTTAATCAATTTGAAATAATTTCAAAATATTTGCAGGATAAAACTAAAGATGAAGATGATGCTGAGGAAAAATCAGATAGTGAATCAGTTACAGGTGAGCAATCAACAAAATTTCTTCGAGAAATTACATCGATTGATCAACCAAAAGTAATATTGTTGGTTCATCATTGAAACAGCATAAAATTCCTGCTAAAATCAATGATAATACGATGAAAACTGATGAAAAAATGAACGATGGATCATTTATATTTGACATGCAAGTACTAATTAATTAATTTATTAATTAAATTTTTTGCAATTAAAATTTAATTACTTTCTTATCCTTTTTCATCTTCACTCAATTATTCTGATATCATAAGTGTATTAACGTATTATTATTATTATTATTAATATTATTAAGGTATTGATATCGCATTATCATTAAAGTTAAAGCATTATTATTATCATTATTAATATTATTATTATTATTATCATTATTATTATAGCATTAGACACAATTATACAATCAATTATTTTGACATCGTATTATTATTGAAGTAAAATTATTATTATTAGTTATTATTATTATTATCATTATTATTATTATATCATTAGATACAATTATACAATCAATTATTTTGACATCGTATTATCATTAAAGTAAAACTATTATTATTATTGTTATTGTTATTATTAGTATTGTAGCATTAGATACAATTATGCAGTAATGTGTTAACACAATAATTTAATAAAATATCATAATTTAATACTTTTTTTTAGAAAAAAAAAGCGAAATAAGTAAGATAGTTATTTGTTCTAATTTTACCATTTTTGATTTGAAACTTTTCTTCAATCAATGCTTATCCATTCGTTGGCTAATTAAAATGCTAACATAATCAAATTCATTATATATAAAATTAAAAATAGAACTTATTACTAATTTTAGAATTTGAACTAATCTATTAAAAAATGGTATTTATTACTTTTTTTTTTTTAAAAAAAATTTAAAATAATATATTTAAAATATGGAAATTCTTATCTTTTTTTTTTTAAGAATCTTGAATAATAATACACATATATTTTTTTTGAAATTTAACAGAGAATTTAAATAAATTTTTAAAATTTTCACAGTTTTTGGTGAAGCTGGTGAGTGTATGCTACGAAATAGAATTTCAACTGAATTTACAAGTACAACAAGTGCTACACCAGAAAATAATTTTAAAAGACATGATGATGCAAATGAAGATTGCACAAAAATTTCCTTACCAAGGTTAATTCATATAATTTCTTACATTTATTTTAAATTTAAAAAAAAAAAAATTGATAATTAATCAAAAATAATTTGCTTGCAAAAAATGAATGCATGTTGAATGCATTGCATGCATGCAATTATCAAATTTATTTACTTAATTACAGTAAAAAATTTAATAAATCATTATTTAAATGTAAGGAAATGCATTGAAAAAATTAAAAAGATTTAATGTATAATGCAAAAAAGGAAAAATGTTTGTTATAAAAATTGCTAAAGATAAAGTATTTAATTAATTTATTTAATTAATTAATTACTCAATAAATAATAATTAATTAAATATTAAATTATGAAAATTATAATTTCTTTAAATCTTCTGGACATTTGTAAATGATTGCAAGTCACTGAGACATTTCTACTAATTTATAACTATTGCAAAAGTTCAACAGTCCTTGTCCATTTCAAATTTAAGATTTAATTTACTTAGTCTTTTTACAAACTTTTAATTAACAATTTTCTGTAATATGCTAGTTTATAAGTAAAATCAACAAAAAAAAATAATTATAAATAATAAAATGGAAATAATTTTGTTTACTTTTTCATTTTAAAAGTTGTTTATTACAGTATCGAAGCAAAAATATATTATTCCACTAATGATGCAATCAATTGTCATAAATCATTCCCAATGTAAGTCTCATCTATAATTAATTAAATATTAAATTTCAATTTTAATTAGCGCTACTAATGACAAATGGTTTTCCAATTCATGTCTTATCTATAATTAATTAAATATTAAATTTCAATCTTAATTAGCACTACTAAATAATAAATGGCTTTCCAATTCAAGTCTTATCTACAATTAATTAAATATTTAATTTCAATTTTAATTAGCACTACTAATAATAAATGGCTTCCCAATTCAAGTCTTATCTATAATTAATTAAATATTTAATTTCAATTTTAATTAGCACTACTAATAATAAATGGTCTCCTAATTCAAGTCTTATCTATAATTAATTAAATATTAAATTTCAATTTTAATTTTTTTTTAATTTCAATTTTTAATTAAATATTAAATTTCAATTTTAATTAGTAAATTTCAATTTAATTAGCATTCAATTTTAATTCAATTTTAATTTATTAGCACTACTAATGAAATAACAAAGGATTAATTGTAATTTTTCATTTGAATTAAAAAATAAAAATATTAAAACTTAAATTTAAAAAATTTTTATTTCTTAGAATAAAATCAGCAACCACTTCAATGCCATATTTATATGTATCAGCAAATGTTGCTAATATGCCTGAAGAAACAGCACTTACACCAATTATTGCCGATTTTTTCATTGGAAAATTTACCACAACAATTTCCTCAGCAAGTAAAAATTTATTTATTCATTTAGAAATTTTGTAGTTATTTAAATAATTTTTGAATAGTTGAATTATAAATTTCAAAATTATTAATTATGAATTATACCCTTTTTTTTTTGAATGGTACATTTATCATAAGCAAATATAAACATATTTATTCATTTGAGAATTTATTATTTATTTATTATATATATTATAAATTTAAAAATTTATTTATTCATTTAGAAATTTTGTAGTTATTTAAATAATTTTTGAATAGTTGAATTATAAATTTAAAAATTTATTAATTATGAATTATACCCTGTTTTTTTTTTGAATGGTACATTTATCATAAGCAAATATAAACATATTTATTCATTTGAGAATTTATTATTTATTTATTATATATATTATAAATTTAAAAATTTATTTATTCATTTAGAAATTTTATAGTTATTTAAATAATTTTTGAATAGTTGAATTATAAATTTAAAAATTTATTAATTATGAATTATATCCTTTTTTTTTGAATAGTACATTTATCATAAGCAAATATAAACATATTTATTCATTTGAGAATTTATTATTTATTTATTACATATATATTATAAATTTATTATTTATTTTTATTTGAATAGTTTATCAACACTGAATTTATAAATTATAAAAAATATTAATTATGAATTATATCCTTTTTTTTTGAATGGTACATTTATCATAAATGAGTAGAAATTTATTAATTCATTCGAGAATTTTGTAGTTTTTGAATTTTTTTTTTTTTTTTTTGGAATAGTTTTGAATTATAAATTTTAAAATTTGTTAATTCTGAATTATACATTTTTTTTAAAACGGCACATTTATCATTTATTTATTTATTTAATATAAATTTATTTATTCATTTGAAAATTTTTAAACACTAAATTATAAATTTAAAAATTATTGACTATAACTTATACCATTTTCTTTCTCTAAACAATACATTTATCATACTGATAATAAAATTATCAACTATGTAATAAAAATATCAAATAAATGATAAATTTATATTTTATTTTGATAATTTTAGTCAGAAAATGTAGTAAAATATCAAATAAATGATAAATTTATATTTTATTTTGATAATTTTAGTCAGAAAATGTAGTAAAATATCAAATAAATGATAAATTTATATTTTATTTTGATAATTTTAGTCAGAAAATGTAGTAAAATATCAAATAAATGATAAATTTATAATTTATTTTGATAATTTTAGTCAGAAAATGTAGTAAAATATCAAATAAATGATAAATTTATAATTTATTTGATAATTTTAGTCAGAAAATGTAGTAAAATATCAAATAAGTGATAAATTTATATTTTATATTGATAATTTTAGTCAGAAAATGTAGTAAAATATAAAATAAATGATAAATTTATATTTTATATTGATAATTTTAGTCAGAAAATGTAGTAAAATATCAAATAAATGATAAATTTATATTTTATATTGATAATTTTGGTCAGAAAATGTAGTAAAATATCAAATAAGTGATAAATTTATATTTTATTTTGATAATTTTAGTCAGAAAATGTAGTAAAATATCAAATAAGTGATAAATTTATATTTATTTTGATAATTTTAGTCAGAAAATAGTAAAAATATCAAATAAATGATAAATTTATATTTCATTTTGATAATTTTAGTCAGAAAATGTAGTAAAATATCAAATAAATGATAAATTTATATTTTATTTTGATAATTTTAGTCAGAAAATGTAGTAAAATCAAATAAATGATAAATTTATATTTTATTCTGATAATTTTAGTCAGAAAATGTAGTAAAATATCAAATAAGTGATAAATTTATATTTTATTTTGATAATTTTAGTCAGAAAATATTAGTAAAATATCAAATAAGTGATAAATTTATATTTTATTTTGATAATTTTAGTCAGAAAATGTATAATAAAATATCAAATAAGTGATAAATTTATATTTTATTTTGATAATTTTAGTCAGAAAATGTAGTAAATATAAAATAAATGATAAATTTATATTTCATTTTCATCAAAGATAAATTCATTTTCATCAAAGATAAATTTTAATAATGAATTAAAAATACAAATTATTTTGGATGGGTCGTGTTGTTATTGTTGTATTAATCGATCAATCATCACTTCTACTTAATGATGAATGGAAATTATACAATGATCAGGATGAAAAGGTATTCTTTAAAAATTTAAATCATTAAAATTCAATTATACATATTATGAATTAATCATTTGGATGACCTGAATAGGTGAAATTAATAAGTAATGAATAAGTAATGAAAATTAAATTCATCAATGATAAATATTTTTCTTTTGAAAATTTTATTCTTTTGTTTTTTTTTTGAAAAATACTTTAAAAATGAGAAGGAATTGATAATGTATATAAAATAGATTATCAATTCCCAAATTAATTAGCAATAGTAAATTTTCTTATAATTGTACGATTTGATAACAAATCAAGCCAATATTTAAATTTCAAAAATTTAAATTTAATTAAAAAATATGACAATTGCTTAATTAATTAACAATAATAAATTCTCTTATAATTGCACCAGTTGATAACAAAAAATGGCCAATATTTAAATTTCAAAAATTTAAATTTAATTAAAAATGATGACAATTGCTTAATTAATTAACAATAATAAATTCTTTTATAATTGTACGATTTGATAAAAAAAATTGCTACAATTTAAATTTCAAAAATTTAAATTTAATTAAAAATGATGACAATTGCTTAATTAATTAACAATAATAAATTCTTTTATAATTGTACGATTTGATAACAAAAGATGGCTAATATTTTAGTTTCAAAAATTTAAATTTAATTAAAAAAGATCACAAATGCTTAATTAATTAACAATAATAAATTTTTTTATAAATGTACGATTTATTAACAAAAAATTGCTAATATTTTAATTTCAAAAATTTGAATTTAATTAAAAAAGATGATGTAATAATCATTAACATTTAGAGTTTATAGTTGATATTTTCTCATAAGTATGACAAGATTTAAAATATCAAATTTGAATGGACAACAAAAACAAATAAAATTGATATTAAATTTAAAAATTTTATAACATTAGCAAAATTTAATTCTTATTTATGTTTATTAACAGATAAAAGAAGCAATGATAATGCTTAACAGTATTTTGAAATATTCTAAACTACAAGCTATTATCACTAAAGCTACATTCAACAGTATTGATAGTGTGATACAAAAACTTAGTGTTTTCTTTAAGGTAATGATTTGTTTATTTATTTTTTTTCTTTGTCAAACCATTCTTAGCACTTATTATTTATTAGTAAACAAATTGGTAAACAAAATTTTTAGTAAACAAAGTCTGTTTGTTTTAAATTATTAGTAAACATTATTAGTAAACAAAATCTGTTCATTTAAAAAATACTAGAAAATTTAGGAGTAAGTGATAAGCTGAAATTAGAAATAGTTAAGATGAAAATTTTGATAATTTTTTTTTCCTTCAACCAAAAGTAAAACTTAGTTATTACTATCGAAATGAGATCTTTTTTCAAATTAGTTTAATTAATTCTCAATAATATAACAAAGAAAAAAGAAGGAAAAAAAAATGAAAGTAAGGTACAATTAAAAATGTAACTTAGAAATAAAATTAAAAGTGAAAATATAAATAGGTTTTAAAATTAGGAGTAAGTGATAAGCTGAAATTAGAAATAGTTAAGATGAAAATTTTGATAATTTTTTTTTTCTTTAACCAAAAGTAAAACTTAGTTATTACTATCGAAATGAGATCTTTTGTTTTCAAATTAGTTTAATTAATTCTCAATAATATAACAAAGAAAAAAGAAGGAAAAAAAAATGAAAGTACTATAGAAATCAAAATGTAACATAGAAATAAAATTAAAAGTAGAAATATAAATAATTAAATAAAAGATTTCATTGAAAATAAAATTTATAAATTAAAATAATGAAATGAAATAAAATTTTAGGAACAAGTGGAAGATAGCCGTCTGTTACATAATCTAACAAATAAAACATTAGCAGGAACTATTAAAAATGTTATCAAATTATCACAAATATTTCATTGGGCAAAAATTCTTGATTTAGTCACTGATATGCAAATGAAAAGTAAAACATTTCCAATGCCTAATGCTAGTAATGGAAGGACAATTATTTGTGGACAATTTATTTCAATTGGACAACAAGCATCATTGGTTCTAATGGAAGGTGAAATTACAGCAAATCGGTTTGTAATTTAGTATATTATTCAAAATATTACTTAAATTTCATTTCTAAAATTTAATAATGTTTTAGTTAATATAAATTTAATTTTGGATGAAAAAAAAAATGAAACAAAATGAGTAAAGGAATGTTTCAAAGTTATGTTTTAAAGTAAAAATCGGTTTGTAATTTAGTATATTATTCAAAATATTACTTAAATTTCATTTCTAAAATTTAATAACATTTTAGTTAATATAAATTTAATTTTGGATGAAAAAAAAATGATGAAACAAAATGAGTAAAGGAATGTTTCAAAGTTATGTTTTAAAGTAAAAATCAAGTAAAATATAATTATGCAAATTGCAATTATAGTTTTAGTGAAGAAAGAAATTGTGTAAAATCAAATAAAATAAAATAGAATGAAGAGAAAAAAAAAAAGAAATAAGCAAAAAATTTTTTAAAATTTCTCAGTTCAACAAATTTATGAATAATTTTCTTTGGATTATTCATTAATTGTTTCAACAATGAAATTAAAATGTAACACTTTTAAGTGTTAATATCAATTTCTTAGACTTAAACTTATTTTCAAATGTTTAAATTAGTTCTATTCTATAGTGGAACTAATTTAAATTATTATTATTATTATTATTTAGGTGAGAAAAAAAAAATAAATTCAAAAATGTTTATATTTATACACAATGATTTATTTTATAAAATTCTTCAATGTTGATAAAATAAACAATCCTATCGTTTTGTTTGTTGTTTATTAAATGTAAATTTAACTAAAATTGTTCAATTTAAATTTCGTTTAGTTGGGCGCTTTTCTATCTCAATCAGCCAACATTAATTTTCTCAAGTGCTGCACAATATACATTTCTTGATGAAAAACAAACAATTGGTATTGATTTATCAGAAAATTACTACTTAAATTAAATGGTGCAACAAAAGAAAATAAAATTTCTGATAATAATTGGACAAGTGTTATTTGTAAAGTTGAGGTTTGGTTTCTTTTTTTTTATTTTTATTTCCCAAATATTATCACAAATTAAAGTTTTTTTTATTCAAATGAAAATAATAAAAAGGAGGAAATATTTATTATTGCTTGTTTAATTTATAAAACATTGATCATTTTTTTTTCTTCGAATAATATTTATTTCAATTTTTGGCGTATCTAATTCATAGAATTATTTCTGCTATTTAAAGTGAAAAATAATTTAGAGCGTATTTTTCTTTTTGAATCAATTATTTGATAAAATTCAAGACATTATCACATACTCTATTTTTAATTTAAATGATTATTTTCTAATTTGATATTTTATCGAACTAATCTCAGGATTAATTTACATTCAATAATTCAATATGACTGAATGAAATTACATTAAAAATAGCTTGTGCTTGAATTTATTTGGCTTTAAAACTTAATTTGCAGTAAGATACAGTAAACAAATACAGTAAATATAATAATGCAGTAAAGTTAATACATAGTAACTTAATACGGTATATACAATAATACCGTGGATTTAATTATTATAAGATTATGCAATATTACCTTTCCCAATCTGGGAATCATGATTTTTGCAGTAATTTAACACGGTAAACACAATAGTACAGTAAGTTTAATACAGTAATTTTAGTACGGTATACAATATTACAGTAATTTAAATAATTATAAGGTTATGCAATATTACCTTTCGCAATCTGAGAATTATATTTTTACAGTAACCTAACACGGTGAATACAACAGTACAGTAAGTTTGATAGAGTAATTCTAGTACGGTACGTAGAATAACACAGTTGATTTAATTATTATAAGATTATGCAATATTACCTTTTGCAATCTGAGAGCCATATTTTTACAGTAACCTCACACGGTAAATACAAAAGTACGATAAGTTTGATACAGTAATTCTATTACGGTACATACAGATCTGGTGCAGCGATACAGTAAATTTAATTATCACAAGATTATGCAATATTACCTCTTACAATCTGAGAATCATATTTTTTTTACAATGACTTAATACGGTAACTACAATAGTACAGTAGGTTTAACACAGTAATTTTGGTACGGTATATACAATAATACGGTAAATTCAATCATTATAAGATTTATGGAATATTATCTCTCCCAATTTGAGAATTATGTTTTTTTTCAGCGCCATAAAGATCAAACATGTCCGAAATATGCAACAATTCAGGAATGTCTAACATTATGCATCGATGAACCATTAGCACAGCTTTTCTCATTGACCCAAAATTCAATCAAATTTCAGTCAATGGTACTTGAGCTATTCGAGTAATTCTTTCTTTCTTCTTCTTTTCCTTCATTATCTAATTTCAACACAAAAGAATTTTGCAATCATTTCATACTGATAAAAAAAGATGATAAAAAATAATTCATAATAAAAAAAATTTATAACCATAATAATATATTCTATTTCTTTTCGACATTATTTGATATTTTAAGAAATTATTATGAATAGATTATTGTTGTTCAAAAAAGCAATAATAATTCTTCCATAATTTTTGAATTTATTTTCTAGACTACCTGCAATGGATTCAGTTTTTACCAGCAATCAGAAAGTACCAATTCATTTAGAAAAACTAAAAGATATTAAAACTGAAGTGATTTTATTTTCATTTCAAAATATTCCTTAAAAATTTAGTAGCAATAGAAAAATTAAATTTGTGAATTGAATAAATTCATCAGGAATGTGTGATCAGTGTTATTTGTTTAGAGAATTAAAAAGTATATACCAAAACTTTATTAGTATATACCAAAACTTTATTAGTGGAATTTTAGAAGAAACTTTATGATTTCCAACTTTTTATCCTTCCATTCTTTTTTTCTCAATCTTTTCTTCATTAAATCTAATATTATTGAAAATGCTTCCATTTAAGGAATTTAATTATGAATTTGCCTTTTTTTTTTGTTTAGGTCCTGTGCAGTCTTATATGTGATTTTCATCAAGCACTTGGCGTACAGACTGATCTCTCAACACAAATTAATTTTCTTCCTGAATTACTTCGATCTTATCTTATCGAACAGGTTTAAACTATTTTATCATTTTACATTGTTATACTTTTTTTTTTTTCATTTTCCTTCTTAGAAACTGTGTTACAAATATATACAATAAATACTTAAAGATAAGTTTTAAAAAAAAAAGGAAAAAAGGAAATCAAAAATTGATCAAAATTTACATAAATATTTGATGTAATTCAGGATAAAGATGTTAAAAAAGAAATAGGAAAGCTACCAATGGAGGAGAAATTAGGAAAAGGAGAAACTGAAAAAACTGATAAACGACAGTATATTTGCAAACAGTGGAAAGTTGATCCAAAAATACGATTCATTGATAAAGTAAAATGGGATCCACCAGTTATTGATGAGATTTTGCGTAAATTACAAGTAAGTTTCAAAAATTATATGGATAGATTTGAAGTTTTGGAAAAGATTAAATTGACAAAAGTTTAAGATTAAGATTAAGAAATTGTTAAAAGATCATTGGTTATATTTAAGATATTCGATCATCGAAATACCATACCTAAAGTTGTACAAAGACATATACTGGATCATTGCGATATATTTTTATCAAAAATTCTTTTGGCTATTGTAAAAGTTGCAAAAGAAGCTTCAGTAAAAAGTGATCGAATGTCCACTCATTTTTAATGAAAAAAAAAAAAAAAAAACAGTGAAAGAATTAAAAAATATAATTCAGTATTTATTATTTAATTTTCATTTTATTAATAAAATAAAGATGAGATAATGTGAAAACATGTATAAAATTTGATAAAAGTATGAAGAACTAAGTATAACAGAGCATATATTTGAGAAAAACTTTAAATAAATAATAAAATCAAACTCAACAATGAAGTAATCCATTAAAGTCAGCCTAATCTTTAAGAAAAGAGAAATTTTTTGACAGATTCATGTTTTTTTGGAATGATAAGGAATGGATTATTCTTGAAAACTGATAAAAAAACAAAACACAGAAAAGAGCGATGGATCAAATCATACCAAAACAAACATACCTTACCTAGAAACTATCAAAATTTCATGCTTATGGAGCTCCGCTCTATTATTTCCAAAAAAAAAAAAAAGAAAAAGCGATTTTAATTCCATAAAACTTATCTGAAATTTCCCATATATTCAACTATCGTCAAGATGAGTATTAAATTCTTTGATATTCTAGAGTAAAAGCTGATCAGTGCAATTAGCTTTGTCATAAATATTGTAGATTTTTGCAAAATCCGAAACTACTGTTGTTTTAAAATGTACACTTTCAAAAAAGAAAAAAAAAATTTATTTATTGTAAGAATGTTGACAAAGGTTTTTCTATCAACCAATTTTCATTCATCAATCGCTGATTAAGTGCTTCATGTAGTTGATGTACTGTTTTCAGGCCAATACTGATCATTTCCTCTAAAACTGTACAAAGCACAAATGAAGTTTACAGTTATATTTATAGCTTTTTATTTCTCTAACACTTTCCTTTATCTTTGAAAATTCAAAACTAACGTTAAATGAAATGAAGTATACATTAAGTTAGTTAAACTATATTAGTAAGCCTGAAATATTTGATAAAATAGATACAAATAAATTATATATATATATAGGATCAGCTACAGCAAACAAAATTTAAAATTATTTGCATGAAGAAATGTGTTTACTTTGAACAAAATTGTTTTAAAAGAATGCTTTAACATTCTCCATTTGAAGAAATGCGTTCAACAAAAGGAAAAATCTCAACAACAACAACAAAAAAAAGTACCAACCAAGTGAATCAATTTCAAGAGTACCACCACCGCACTGCCTCATAAATGTAATTATGGAACCATCACGCTTCACTGCACATTGATTATTTTGCTGAAAATAATTGTTCACTATACATTCTCACATCCATTCTTATCTATGGACTGTTTACAGTTTTCTTTCTACGTATTAGCTCAGTACAAGTGGACCTCATGGTATAATCAATCAAGTCACTAACTCACTAAAATTTTAGAAAAAAAAAAAGATAAACAAGACTGATAATTAAATAAAATTAAACGACAAAAATTAAATGATATACATTGTGATTGATGTCAGAAACAAATTGTGGAGCGACAGCAATCCAAACAGATGTTCGAGTGCATGCTTCTTCGGTCAACGAATTGTCAACAATTTTAGCAGTTCCAAGTCTATTTACACTGACAAATAAAGGAACTCTGCAACAAATAATAAAACACTAGAAATCGAAATTTTGTAATTAAACTAATGAAACTACGTTTAAGCATTATTCTAGCAGTTGAGGAAAGTCGGGAGTTTGAAGGAAGGAAAGACGATGAAATAAAGTTGTCCTTATCGTAGAAATCAAATTCTAATCCTCAAATCAAATCCCATTCCTCTGCATCTGAACTCAGCAATACTTGAAGTGAGAAATAACAATGTAAAAAAAAAGAAATTTCAGTTCTTTAAAGAGATCAACGACAATCAACCATTCGAGATAAAAAGATCAATGAATTTGAATGAAATCTTGCAAGGTAATAATATCTCACTTTGCCCTACCAAAACGATAAATCCATTTTCATTTAAACAAATCACGAAATCCATTATATTGCAAAACGGATACCTTGATGTATCTAATTTCCAAACAGTATTATCGTCCGGTAAATCAATTGTATACTTTCCTTCATCAGCTGGTCTGACTATAACTTTACTAATTTCCGTGTCTTTCAATGCTGCTTTAACCTAGAATTACTAATATATAATTCAAAAAGGCATAAAAAACTCAGTTTGTAATTATTAATCTCGTAATCTCACATTCTGTTTGAAGTTTACTCCATAAAAAGGAAAGAAATTCACTAACCCCTAATCCTGCTGCATCAATAACATTACCGTCACATTGTAAAAGAACGATATCCACAAACAGTTTCCAAGCATGCATTGGAGATAGAATCAATCTATGAAAAATAATATTAAAAATATAAGGAAAACATAGCACATGAATTTCTATCTAAACAGTTATTCAAATCATATCAAATTCTCTGAATTTCTACTAACACTTATCATTCATATTATTACTTATAAATACTTTTTTAAATCTGGAAGCACATAATTGTTGTCATAAGCAGCATCTAATGCTGCACTCAATTCATCCGCGAATTCTTCACCACCACGACCTACAATTATAAGTTTTACTAGTCATTCTGAAAAGATTGATCATTGAAGACTATAGATCTTACACTTCATATTAATTTACTTCATCAAACTTTGGTTAATATGGCATTAGAACAAATGAAAAAGAAAATTTGTTTCCCAAAATCTTCGGATTAAAAAAAAAATCATCGTAACATCTAAAATATCACAAAAAATGTCTATTCCAAACTAACTGTTGTAAAACTATCAACAAATTTTTATCATTATAATACCATTCATATGAATCTGTTTAAATGCTACGCTAGCCCAGCCTATAGTAAGAAGGTCTTACTACTAAAGTAAGCTATAGTAAAACCTATATTAAGTAAGAATACAAGCTTAAGAACTCGAAAGTATCCAAGATTCAGCTCAGAGATACCAGAAAGAACGGTATATTCATGAAGATTTCGAGAATTCCATTTTTCACCCTTATCTAGATACAACGCAGAAATAAAATGCTACATCTCAACCGCTAATAACTACAATGTTTAAAACTGAAATTAAACAAGTAAAATCCTTTACATACCAGCAAAAGTGGAGTGGCATTTGCTGAGCAATCAACAAAGAAATTTAGCCGATTCCGATAAACAGTGGTATCCACGCTGATTAATTCGGCTTTGACACCAATTAGTAAATCAGTTGAACCTATCTGGACACGAGCTGAACCATTTGTTGTTGCCAAAACACCGGTTTGAACTATTATAGGCCGGTAATCTAATGGACTGCAATAAAGAAGGAATGACCATGCTGACTAGAAAACATTAGTATAAGAAAAAAATTACCCTTGACTGAAGTGTAATGAACTTATTAGGTTTTTCTTCAAAAGCTTGCTCGAAAATTTCAAGAAATCATTTAAAAGCTAACTGAAACATGTTATCTTCTCATAATAAACATAAGACCAAAGAAGGTATGGATTAGTTTAAATAGAGTTAGCCAGAATTTAACTTGAACACTGAGTAAAAATGAGGTAATACGGAATAGAACCAAATTACTTAAAACTATTTGAAATCAGCTGTAACACTTACCCACGTCCGTCAGCTCGCAAACCTTCCTGCGCTCCATGTATTATGAATACTTTTTCGGCTTCACTTAATTGCACTTCCATTTTTTGAAGTTAATCTTGAATTTACAAAAAACGAAAAAGTGAAAGCCTCATTCTGCTGCACAACAGTCTTACTTTATCTGAAACTATAAGAACACGTTTAAACTTGGGAAACGATTTTATGGTACCACGTAGAGTAATTTTTTTTGACAGTAAGGACATAGCGAAACCAATAACCTGGTACCATACAAGTACCATAGCTCGTCAACATACAAATACCTACATTTAGTCCAGACACCATACAGGAATCAGATTAACGTTAAGTTCACAGTATAACCCAACACCACGGTACCATAAGTTACCCAACGTACGTACCGCACTTGAGTACCACCATGTACCGTAGTACCACGACCGCGATTTACCCTACCACCCAGATAATTTAAAAATGAATGCAATTATTAAATCCCACGCCGAGAGTTTTTTTTTCGAAAGATTCAGAATCTTTCGTTTGTGATCTAACAAATATTCCTCTCAGTGACAAGTAGAGCATTTGATTTTACGGGTTAAAGGTTAAAGGTCAATTGATATATACTGGTTAATTGACAGTTATTTTTCTATTTCAGAATTCCTTCCCAAACGAAATAATTTCCTCCTCTCTTCTTCTTTCTTTTTAAACATTAATTGCTGCTATTGTTTTCATCTCATCGTCTTCTCATTCTGTTATTTCTTTATTTATGTAAGATTTAAATTTATTATGGAAGATTTAAAATTATTTTTGTTATCTTTTTAAAAGGATAATTCAGATCTTCTAGAATATGTTTGTTTATTCAGCAATTTTATTTCATATGTGAGAATTTGTTGGAGAATAAGATAAATTAAATGATTGAAAAGACTGAAAGGAATATGGTAGTAGAGTTAAATATAGCAAGAAAGTTCGAGAGTAGCCTAGAAAATTCGAGAATAGCCTAGAGTTGACGAGATTTAAGGAAAATTTGTTGAGTAAGAATATTTGAATATTCCTTTGTACTTATACTATTAGGTATTATACTATGATATATTTTATTATCCTCTTTCATTATCATTTCATATTTATTAGTTTGACTATTTTTTCTGATATTTTTCTAATAGATATATTTTTTTAATCTAAGTAATAAAACGAGCAGAAGATAATTAGAAGTTTATCTGACTTAGATATTTAAAGAAATTAATATTTGTTTCATATTTAAAGAAAATATAAAATAGTTTTATCTTTAAAAAAGGAGAAATTATATATTAAATTAGATTCAATACTAAAAAAAATTGTTATAGTTATGATTGAATAGATTGTCATTTTCATAAATTATCACAATCATAAATAGCAAAACGAATTTATATTGCTTAAAATAAATCGAATAATACTTCTTAGTTTCATAAATTGAAAAATTGCGATCGTTTTTATGTTTCATTTGGCTTATGAAATATTTTAGAAAATATAAGTAAAAAAAAAATCAAAAATAAAAATTAAATTTAATTTAATCATTTCTTTATCACACTGATAAGTGATTCATGATATGATAATTTACATGATGAATTAAAAGAAGAAAAAGCTTTTTTTTCAGTTGTTGAAATTTTTATTTATTTATTTTATTTTATTTTTTATTTTTTTGCATATTTTATGCTTAGAAATCAATTTAAAATTAAATTGTGACGCATTCCTCATGAATTATTGTTACAAAAATAGAAGAGGCAAGTGAGTCTTGTTTATTTATTTATTTGTTTATTTTTGTAAACAACACTATTTTCATTTTTTGTTTTCAATTTAAGTAAACATTAAATTTAGCAATGCAATTAATTATTAAAAGCATATATGTATATATTCTTAGGCTTGGCTTGAACGTTGAATAAGTGTGGCTCGTTCCTCACCATTACGACTGTAAAGAATTGTATGAACATTTGAGCCAAGCCCAAATGACTCTTCACCATCAAAGATGAGCTGTTCTGGTGGCGATGAAATGCCATGTCCACGGGCTACAATCTATAATTAGAAGAAAATAAATAAATAAATAAATAAACAGAAAATAAACAAATAAATAAATAAATAAACAGAAAATAAATAAATAAACAAACAAACAAATATTTGACGAAAAAATTTTTTTAAATTTCAATTTTTTTTTCATCTCTTTTAAAATTTAATATTTTACCAATTAAAATTTCGTTCTTTTTTTTCTTTCTTTTATATTGAAAATTAATTAGATATGCTAGAAATGAAAAGATTTATCATTGAAATGAGAAAAAAAAATATTTATTCAAAATGATAATTTTTTGTTGGTAATTCAAAAATTTTTACAAATTTTACAGATTAAAAAATTTACAAATATGAAGAAGATTAATTAGAATGATAAATTATTATTTAAACCTTAACACTTTTTCCAGGTTTAAGAATGAAATTATGTGGAAATGTATAAATTATTTCTTTTTTTCCATCAATTTTTCTCTTCAATTTCCATTCACCAATTAATTCTTCCTTAGCTCGATGTGTATTTTGAATTATAATAAAGGTACCATCGGTAGATGTTTCCTATAAATATTTTAAAATTTAATTTGATAAGACTTTTTGTTTTTTTTTTTTAAATTTAAATTTTTGGTAGGACTTTTCTTCTCTCTCTCTTTTATTTTCCTTTTTCGTTTTTTTTTCTTACCTGAGAAATTTCTATTAGTTGATTAATTTTTAAAGTTCAGAAAGAAAATAAAATTAAAATTGAAAAAAAAAAAAAAAAAACCTGAATGGAAACATTTCCTTTAGCAGATCGTTGAAATGATGTACGAGATGCAGCTTCACCTTTCATAACTCTCATTGTTTCTATAAATTTTCAAAATTTTTTTTTTTTTGAATTTTTGAAATTATCAAAAATAAAAGTATGGAAAATTTAAATTTCACAAAAGAAATTAATCAATTTTTCAAAAATTTTTTCTTTTTTTTGTACTCTTTTGATGTTTTTTTTTTTTTGACAATTTTTTGTATTATTAATGTTACATAAAGAGTAATAAAAATTTCCGTAAATATTGAAATTGTTAGAATAAATTTATTGAAAAATGAAATTTTGTTTAAATTTCATTTTTCGTTTTTTTTTTTCACAAAAAAAAAAAACGAAATTAACCGGTATCATCTCGACGAGTTAACTCATGAGTACGTACAACCTGTTCTACCAATTGACGTAATCCGGCACGATTCTCTTCACCTTCTAACATTTTCCGGTAAATTGCTATCTCAGCATCTAATGTCTGCAAAAAAAAAAAAAAAAAATTTTTTTAAATTTAAAATTTCCTAAATATATTTTTCTGCTTAATTGCTAACTTTTTATTTTGAGAAAAGAAAAAAAAAAGAGAAGGAAAGAAAGGAATATTTTATAATATAAAATTTCGGACATAATAAAATTTAAATTTAAATTTGAAAAAAAAAAATCACTAAATATTAGGTAAATTATTGATTACTTTATTGAAAAATAATTAACTCTAATTTTACTAACCTGTTTAGTATCAAGAAGCATTTGAAGTTCAACCATTAACGCTTGACATTCCTCGCGCATTTTTCGAATTTGCGCATCACGATCATTTAATGCTGCTTCATATGAGCGTTGATCATCTTCTAGCTGATAATTTAACTCTTGTATTTGTTTTTCCAACAATGAATTCTAAAATTAGTTTAAAATTAATTTAATTATTTTTAAATAATACTATTTCAAATATTATATATTCATCTGATGAATAATGTTAATACTTTAATTAATTAAGTTCATTTAATAATATAATATCAATAATTAAGTATTATTATTTGTTATTCTATTAAATGTTTTGCTAATCAATATGATAACTTTTATCATTACAATTAATATAATAAATATAATAAATATTAATTAGCAATTCTATTTTATTATTTTTTTTTCATTATTTTATTCTATAATATTCGAAATGCTATTTCATTTATTAATCTAATATCAATAATTATTATTATTTGTTATTCTATTAAATGTTTTGCTAATCAATATGATAACTTTTATCATTACAATTAATATAATAAATATAATAAATATTAATTAGCAATTCTATTTTATTATTTTTTTCATTATTTTATTCTATAATATTCGAAATGCTATTTCATTTATTAATCTAATATCAACAATTAATTATTATTATTTGTTATTCTATTAAATGTTTTGCTAATCAATATGATAACTTTTATCATTACAATTAATATAATAAATATAATAAATATTAATTAGCAATTCTATTTTATTATTTTTTTTTCATTATTTTATTCTATAATATTCGAAATGCTATTTCATTTATTAATCTAATATCAACAATTAATTATTATTATTTGTTATTCTATTAAATGTTTTGCTAATCAATATGATAACTTTTATCATTACAATTAATATAATAAATATAATAAATATTAATTAGCAATTCTATTTTATTATTTTTTTTTCATTATTTTATTCTATAATATTCGAAATGCTATTTCATTTATTAATCTAATATCAACAATTAATTATTATTATTTGTTATTCTATTAAATGTTTTGCTAATCAATATGATAACTTTTATCATTACAATTAATATAATAAATATAATAAATATTAATTAGCAATTCTATTTTATTATTTTTTTTTCATTATTTTATACTATAATATTCGAAATGCTATTTCATTTATTAATCCAATATCAATATTTAATTATTATTGTTTATTATTCTATTAAATGTTTTGCTAATCAATATGATAACTTTTATCATTACAATTAATATAATAAATATAATAAATATTAATTACAATTCTATTTTATTATGAAATGCTATTTCATTTATTAATCCAATATCAATATTTAATTATTATTGTTTATTATTCTATTAAATGTTTTGCTAATCAATATGATAACTTCAATATGATAACTTTTAATGTTACAAATAATATAATAAATATTAATTAGCAATTTTATTTTGTTTTATTTTTTCATTATTTATACTATAACATTCAAAATACTATTTCATTTATTAACATAATATCAATAATTAAGTACAAATA